AGTTGGTCATCTGAGTGCTAAAGACAAGCACACTACTGTGAGCTGTTTTCAGGTAAACTTGCAGCTTTGGGACAAGTGATTCAGACCCTGGATCTGTGTCTGGAGCCAAACAGGAGTGTCTGGCTCAGCAAGACGGTGCTGGAGTCCTGAGCTGGCAGGGAAAACAGAAGCAGGGGTAGTCTTGGCACATCGGGTGGCAGCTCCCAAGGGGGTTTCTGTGATCCAACCCATCACAACCATCACTTGATGAGCTGGGATACCACAGAGAATCCCCTCCTGCCAGAACAGGCACCCCTCCACTCCTGTCTTGCTAAATTAGACACCCCAGTCAGCTTCAGCACAGACAGAGGTTGGGCCACACCCATCGGCATTCTGGCGCCGGCCATGCCGCCCCTAAAAATGTGCTGCCCCAAGCACCAGCTTGTTTTGCTGGTGCCTAGAGCCGGCCCTGCTTAGATGTGTTTAAGGTCAGGGTTGACAAAGCCCTGGCTGGGATGATTTAGTTGGGAATTGGTCCTGCTTTGAGCAGGGGGTTGGACTAAATGACCTCCTGAGGTCCCTTACAAACCTGATATTCTATGAAGACTTTATGCATAAAAAAGAAACAGAAGGCAGAAACAAAATGCTTTGTAGCCATTCTTACACGGGCCTAGATAAAAACATTCTTTTTGTTTTCTTCCTGCTGCAGCAGCAGTTATAGGTTTTAAGCTTGTAGGGGCATGAACTTCATACCTGACAGTAAAATATCTAATATACTGTTGGTTATGTATTGAAATACTTAACAAAAATGCTTTGCACATCAGTGTTAAAGTAGAGCCAGTTCCTTGTTCTTTAGCAGTTTATCAGGTACTTCACATGCAACTCTTTTAAAATTGCAAAAGCCATTGTGCTATACTCTACCTTAATCCCAGAGACTGGGGAGTGTGGGCACCCCACTTTATAGTACTGTACCTACAGTATTATGTGTTGTAGTGCATGACTGCATAAAATGGCATATTCAGACATATGCTAATGTTGACCCATATTCCTAGGGTTGGGTAGAAGTATGGAGCTAGCCTGGAGCAGCAAAAGAGTGTAAACAATACTGAAACATTTAACTATGAAGTAGTTAGACCATTTTTTCCTTTTTGCTGAATCTAACAGTGCCACTGTGGTGTCTGTGAGAGGTACGTCTTCATATCATTCGCCAATTTTTTCATTACCTGACACCCATACCTTGGAGGCTTGTGGGGGCACAACACAGGGTACTAGTTGTTTACCAGAGAAATGAGTCTTTCTGGGTGAGTATGAGTGTTTTGCAAGGAAGCGTGATCTCATGAGGCTCGTTCAGTGGAAATGAACTTGGTTAATGGGTTCATAGACCTCGATGTCCTGTCCATGTTCTCTGGATGGACTTCTGGAGAGTCTCTTGATCAGGCTGCTTCACCATGCAGCTGGGTCATTTACCTTCTCTACACACTTCAGGACCCTATTTCTGGGATGGCTGCAGAGGAGCAACCAGCCCTCTCCTCCAGTACTTTTTGCTCAAGTGATTAGCCCTGACTGCAATATGCCATTGCAATAAAAGTGTCTGAACATCTCCAAAAGCTCTGAAGACTCCTCCCATCCCTGATTTAAATGTAACATGTGGGCTTGGTTTGCTGAACTGTAGTGCTGTGTCAGGCCAGGTGTGTCAGCTATGCGAGGCAAGGTAATCACAGTATCATAATGCATATGCACAGGGCTGAATTAAGGTTGCACAGGCAACCTTAATCCTGCCATTTCTTAACTTTTGAGTGCTCAACTTTGGAACATTAATGTTCTTTTAAAGTAGTTTATGTGTGTAACTCACCGAGTTTTTATAAAAACAAACGGGAAAAAACAGAAATTGCATCATGTGGATGTCAATATGGTGCCACATGGGTCATCAGCAGGATTGGAACCTTTAGATCCATTGCCCAGACCTCTGCCACTTTACCTAATGAAGTAACTGATAGAAATAATATGTTGTCATCCTCAGTGTGGATCAGCACTACAAGGGCATGAGATACACTACCTTACCAGTTGCTCTCACAGATGTTTGCTGACAAAGAAGCAATGTTGTGAATCAGGAAACTTGGATTCCATTCCAACTTCTGGAGAGGAGTGTGTTCTAGTGGTCCTAATCCCCTTCTCTTCCATCCCCTGCCCCCAGCTTCCATTCCCAGGCTCCTCTGGTGCCCCATTCTAGTCTCTTCCGTCCCCCCCCCCCCCACTAGGCTACTCATCCAATCTGTTCCCCAGTCACCATAAGCCAAAACTAATATCTGGGATACAATCCCCAAAATTTAGGCCATTGCTGGAGATGGGATACTGGATGGAGAGAGCTGGTGCTTTGAGATTGTACTGAGAATACTCTCTCAGGTGCTTGCTTCTTGTTCACATGCTCAGGGACTAACTGATGACCATATATGGGGCTGGGAAGGAATTTCCTCCCAGGTCAGATTGGCAGGGACCATGAGGGATTTTGCTTTTCTCCGCTGCATGGGATGTGGGTTGCTTGACAGGATCATCTGGGTATATCTCATTTAATCAGTTCCCTGTGACCGCAGGGACTGCTGGCACTTGTGTGCCTCATTCCGTCCTATTCTCTGCCTGTGGTCCACAGTAGCATAGTCTTCTGAGAGTTGTAATACTTTGGTCTAATTTCAGTTGCTGGATGTAGTGTGCAGGTATTGGGTGGTGGTGGTGTTGATATGTGCAGGAGGTCAGACTAGATGATCTTGTTATGCTTAAACAAAGCACACGAGATCTTTTATCGGGGAGAAGGCAACATGCTGCATTTATTGAGAATAAAGCAGTTAGCATATGCTTTTCAGACACACCTCTTTTAAAATTGCAAAAGCCATTGTGCTATACTCTACCTTAATCCCAGAGACTGGGGAGTGTGGGC